TATATATATATATATATATATACACACACATACACACACATATATATATATATACTGTAAAAAATCGTTTCAACTTAAAATAATTTGTTACCTTGCTGACTAAAAATTTTAAGTTTCGTAAATGTTAAGTTAAATGAAAACTTGAATATTTTAGCTGAATAAACTTAAAATTTTATGTAGCAATAGCCAACAATACATTGTATAGGCCAAAATTACCAAAAATCATTAGGATATTAATGAATATTATAAAGGGGTCATATGATGCGATTTCAATCGTTTCTTTCTCTTTGGAGTGTTACAAGCTCTTGGTGCATAAAGAAGATCTGTAAAGTTCAATTTAGAAAAATTGACCTTTATGACTGGTTTTGTGGTCCTGGGATTTTTTTTTTTTTTTACATTTTTTATTTTATTTTATAATTTTTATTCATTTATTTTTAGTTATTTATTTAAAAAATGTAATAATAACAATTAATTTAAGGAATGTTCTTGAAATAATCTAAGAGTGAAACTATGTTGTTGGTTATGTTTGTGTGGTTTGTTATGGATGGTAATAGAGGATATGACGACAGCATGGCGTGAGATTATTTGTGTTCAGCTGCTTGACAGGTTAACGCTGGAAACCTGAATTTCTGCCCTGGCTATGCTTCTAGTGCGTCTAGACGGCTACAGCGCTATCTGTGATGGTGTCAGACTCTGCTGCAGTGAAAGGCGTCTCAGTCGAGCACTCTACTGCAGAAGTGTGCACTCACGGCGCTGTCGCTGGTCTTTCCTGACAGTATGGCCCTGGCCTTGGCTTTGGTCAGGGGGAAGTACTTCAGATAGGACTCGTAGAGATGTCTGGCCAGCGCTCTGAGGTCCGCAGATTCGGGATGAATGTGGTCCACGTCACTGGAGAACTCCGCCAAGAGCTTCTCCTTCTCAGCTTGGGGCATTCGACCAAAACGAATGGCTGGGAAAAAAGCAAACAAGCAGACAGTTGAAAACCCCCAAATCCCAGATCCATCATGCTGGCAGTCTTCTCTGAGCGTCTCGGGTCTGTGGGGATTTTGTGTGGGAGTCTGTTTTCAGTGTTTCAGCATGTTAGCACGGGTCATTACGACCGCTTCAAACAGCCCTAGTAAAACAAGGAACACTTGATAACAAGTTCTCAGATATATTTGTTTTGACCCAGTCATCGTATTGATATCATTAGTACATTTAAGTATTATATAATATTTAATTCAGTGTCCATATGATTTTATAGACAAAACCATAATGCTTTAATGTTTGCCATGTTAATGAGAAAGCTAAAAAGACACAACAGTAGAACATGTGCATGTGACGGAGATGTTGTCACTGTATGAGATGGGCCTCTTCAGTTTCTCTATCAGAGACGCTCCCTCGTTTCACATGTAATAATTACTGAAAGAACAGGACAGAGTCTTCTATTCACAGCCTACACTGGAAAAATTACACTTTGTACTAACTAACTAACTAACTACTCTGATTTATTACAGGCATATTTTTTTCTCAAGTTGTATTTATGATTTGGTTCAATATAATTCAAAATGATAATTATATAATTTATACATTCAATTCTAATTATATTATAATAAAACATATTATATTGTAATTTTCACCCAAGATAAAACTAAAAACATTTTTAGTCAATGTTTAATTCAGTTTACTTACTACAAATAATAATAATAATAACAAATAATAATAATAATTAAAGCTGCAAGCAGCGATGAAAGGGCCCTCGCACCCGGGCTCACCGCCACCCGTATTTCCTGTGGGGAGTGTTATTTGCTTTTAGACAAACTGAACAAAACTGGTTTAAACTTTTGATCTGACCAATATAAAAATGCACTTCAAATATAGTTGTTTAACATTTTTCAGTGTATGATATAAACCCACAATGGCAGCGTTCTTTGAAAAGCATCCTTTTGTGTTTCAGGGAAATAAAAAATAAAAGCATCTGTGTTTGGAATCATGTAACAGTGTGTAAAATAGTGTCAGAACTTTATTTACAAGTGAACTTTTCCTTTAAGATCTGAAATGTAAAATATGTTATCATTACTAGTTACTCCTTACAATATGCATGGAAACGTTGTAACGATTCTTTATGATGATCACATGACTGGCCTGACGTTTAATACCTAATCCAATAGCAAATGAATCTGTGCATCTAACCATTCTGCACATGAAGCTGAAAATAAGCCGAATGTGAGACTTTAGCAACTGCTGAAATCTACATCTTACACATTACATGTCTTGCGATAAACCTTGGCAAGGTTTCAGGCCAGTCAGACAGGAAACGTGAAAGAGTGCCCTCAATCTAATGTAAGAAATTAAATTCTCTATAGATTTCTTCACACATGAAAGCATTTCTGAAACCTTTGATCAGGACTGATTGCATTATTTGACTTGGGGGTTGGAGAGCGTTTGTGAACGCTGTGTGTCTGACGTTTGTAACCCACGCAGCCAGAACGGCAGAGGTTATCTAATATTCGTGATGTAGGAAGTAACCGGTTTCTTTCATGCATATGCCCTGACTTGCTGATTGATATGACGTGTGCATTACTATCACACCTTCTGTGAACTAGTGCATGCCGAACTACCTTTCTCCTGCTGTACGCTTGGCCAGAGGCCAGAGCCAGTGACACAGCATGTTTGTGGCAGCCTGTCCACGCTTTCATGAATCATTGAGAAAAGAGACAGATTCCAACCAACCACTACAGAGAGAGGGAGAAGGGCAGGAGGGAAAACAGAGCAAGCCAATGGGAACGCTAAACTTGACTGACCTCTCTGTGCGCAGCATAACACCTGCAATCAACCACAATACGCTCAGAGACGCTTAAACACAGCGTAATTCAAGAGCCTGTTTGCACGAGCCTTCGGGGAAAGAATCCGGAATAAGAGGTTTAATCAGAATGGGAAAGAGGAAATGAAAGAATTAAAGGGGAGGGGAAATAAAGAAGGAAAGGAGAAGCAAAACAAAACCATGCATGTAAACATAAATATAAATAATTATCTTAATTTGATTTCATGTATTATTTAACAGATAGGTTAATAAGAGCCTTTAGGACAAGGATGTGTAATAAATGCTTAAAAATAAATGGAAAAGAAGAAATGAAAGACTTAATTATAATTAAATAAAAGAAAAACAAACAAGCAAACTAAAACCATAGATATAAACATAACTATAAACTACAAAGCTGAGGGGGAAAAAAACAGAACAAACAAACAACCAAATAAATAAAAGAGAAAAACACACAAGCAAACTAAAACATTACATACAAAACACTGCAAACTGTACATTTATCGGCATCGGGGAGTTTCAGTTTGGCAGTGAATGCTCTCAAAGATAAAGCTCGAAGAGCTCTATACGAAATCAAGAAAAATTTCCAAAATATTGAAATACCGCTTCCAATTTGGAGTAAAATCGTTGCTAGTGTGATTCAGCCCATAGCGCTGTCTGGAAGTGAGGTTTGGGGTCCACTCAGTGATCAGAGCTACACTAGATGGGACAGACATCCAACAGAAGCCCTACACACAGAATTCTGCAAAATGATTCTAAAACTACAAAGAAAAACACCCAATAACACATGTAGGGCAGAATTAGGTCGATTCCCATTGATTATTAATATGCATAAAAGATCTCTCAAATTCTGGATGCATCTTAAATCAAGTCCCACAGAATCGCTACATTTTAAAGCGCTACAAACCCAAGAACTGAACCCCGAAAAGAGTCCACTCAGTCAGCTAGTTCTGAGACTTACGATAGATAGATAGATAGATAGATAGATAGATAGATAGATGATAGACAGACAGACAGATAGATAGATAGATAGATAGATAGATAGATGATAGACAGACAGACAGACAGACAGATAGACAGATAGATAGATAGATGGATAGTTTATCAGCTGATGGTAATGACATGTGGTGTTTAACCAGGACACGTGCGGTTGCAGGGTTGCAAGTAAGGTGTCACTTTGCCTTTAAGCCCCAAGGCAACGAACACACACACACACACACACACACGCAAGCACACACACCCAAACAAACACACACACACGCACGCACACACACACGCACACACACGAGATCTCTGCACGTTCTGAAAGAAATGCCACATATGTTGCAGCAAGAGACCACAGAAAGGAAGCAACAAGGCATCCGAGGCAAAGCGCAGTTGTCTCAGAGCGTAGCATTGAAAGAGTCTGCCTCGAGTGGTTCAAACAGAAACTAGTTCTCTGAAACGGCAGGGCCTTTCACATGAGCGCGGGTTCATGCTCAGCTCACCGTTGTGTGACATGCCCACCATCAGGCACTTCTGAAAGCGGCAGTACTGGCACTTGTTGCGACTCTTCTTGTGGATGCGGCAGTGCAGGTCGCAGTGGTCGTAGACCAGCTTCAGGCGAATGGTTCTGCGGAAGAATCCCTGCCAAAAAGAAAAGGAATGTCGTTAGGAAGGAAGGGGAAAAGGCTTTCCTGACGCCTTGTTAGAATTCTTTTAAAAACATTTCTGATCTATTCAGCTCATTGTCAAGAAGCACAATAGACCTGCGGCCGAACGCTGAACAGCTGCTGCTAATGATTACAACGCTGTCATTTTTGGTAAACCATGTTTCATTAGTCAGAGGAAAAGTTCAGCACAAATGAAAATTTTGCCAACGTTTATTCACCTTGCAAATGAAAACCTTACTCCTCAAAAGGAAGCATTTAGAGAAACATACCAGCCGCTCTTTTACATTCAAATGGGGACTGAAGCTCTTGATCTAGGGCTACTCGATTATGACGAAAATCATAATCACGATTATTTAACACGATTATGAGTGGGCCATAGGACTAAAATTTTAAATGATTTTTTTCTTTTATTTAAAGATAGCGATCGATATAAATGAATAACCTAATGTAAAATAAAACTACATAGTCTTCACTGTAAGAATTAAACTTTGTTTAATTTTTTCGATTAATTGCACAGCCCTATCTTGATCTTTAAAAACTTTTAAATAAACAGGGAAAATTAGCGTGAGACTAAAATGGGTTAAGACATGTTTTCTGAGGTGTTAAATAATGGTGCAAATATAGTAGGCTAGTAAATTGACTAATGCAAACCTTAGTAAATCACCTTGCATTATTTATTTAAACTATAAATCATCAGACGAAGGTTGCGAGTTTTCAGCTCTATTTTTTCCTCTAAAACCTAGACCGTATGACTTGAAAGCTATAGTGAAAGTCTTCTGTCGTCATACAGCAGATTTGTGAGGAACAGACTGAAATTTAAACCTTTATATCCTCACTAGCTCTCCTTGACATGATCATGAAAGCAGTGACAACGTCTGAACAAATCATGCTTTTGAGTGAATTAGTTAAGTTTACAAAACCTGAGAAAAAAAAAAAAAGATCTGTCCCGAGTGCATAGACTTTGTATTGCGGTCAAATTTGATGCGTCGTAGAATTTCGTAAAAACGTGTGGATCACCACATTTGAAGAGGCTGGCAAGCTGTGCGAGAACATACCCGCAGTGGGGTATAAGTTGTACCCCTGGGGCGCAAGAGCACCCCAAAGTTGCCTCATAGACATACTATGGTGAGGGACGGCCCATGAAACTCACGTTTCTCCTACTATGGTAATTTACATTGGAATTTTGCATTGAACATAACTCTGGATTACAGTGTCATAGAGACATGGGGGTTGCTTCATTCACACTGGCAAGCAGCCTGTAGAGTAGCATCATTGGTCACGGCCAAACCACTCCCTAGCAACCAAACAGAGTACCTAGCAAACATTTGGCAAGTCCTATATCTTTGCATCAGAATATCATATAGACATGGGAGTTTTTTTTTTTTGTCGCATGCTAGCAAATAGGACTCCCAACTATCTACACATGCTAGCAGTGAATAGCTACATGCTAATAGTGATTAGCTGAGTGCTAAAACATGCAAAAAGTATAGGTAATTGCTAAAATACAGTCAAACCAAAATTTATTCAGACACCTTCAACATTTCTCACATTATCACAGTTTAAAATGGTAATAAAATATGACAAGAACTCATAGTTAAACTGTGTCAGAACAAATTCATCTTGATAATGTCAGATAACTTTGATTGAAATTAATTAGACTGTCAGCTGTTAAATTTAAGCACACAATTAAATAAAACCAATTTAGCTCAACCAATTACCAAGCAATGCTTTATTTTGTTCAGTCTGTGGTGGAAAAAGATCATATTAGCAATTAAAGAAAAACACTTAAGAAACACATGCTCAGGTCAAAGTGTCTGAATAATTTTTGGGGTATAATATGTGACAGTTTACTTTATTTTGCTATCCTCACTTACATAAATGAACTATAGTATAGTAACTATACTAATACAAAAAAATCAAAATCAAAAAATTATATCCGGTGTCTGAATAATTTTTGGTTTGACTGTATGATTAAAAAATGTCAAAATCTGTTAGCATCATGCTAACAATATGCTATATCATGCTAGCATTGCTTAGCTAAGTGGTAAAACATGTTAAGAACATGTTAAAAACATGCTAACACATGCTAGGATCGCCTACCTAAGTGCTAAAACATGCTAATAGCATACTAACATCATGCTAATGACATGTTAACTGTATTAGCATAGTGGAAAACATATTAGCATCTTGCTAAAAACATGCTAATGACATGTTAATAGTGTTATCCATGTTCGCATCTTGTTAAAAACATGCTAATCATATAGGTTGTTTGCACGTGTTGTCACTGATGACGCGCGAAATGCAGCTGGAGGCAGGAATCACTAGCAGAAACTCAAAATGCCTGTGTTTTGTGTTGTTTATGGATGCTCGAATCGGCCAAACCGACAAACCATAAGGAGCTTTTATCGTGTACCAAAATGTGTTGTTCATACACTCTTAAATAAGATATTATTTGCAGTTCTTAGAGCTGCATTGATTATATCGCAACATCGTGAGATTGAGATAAATTGAAGTGAGTGACAGCTTTTTAGTGATTCTATAAAAGTACTATTTGCTCGCTTTCTAGGCTATAATCAATTCAGAATTTGAATAAAAGTTTTGTTTTACGTGCTGCTGACAGGACCAACAGCCACAAACCCTGTTCATGCAGCACAGTTTCAGGAGTGACATATATCCCACATCCCTCACATAAATACGGGATTCACTTTGGAAATAGCTTGTTTACAATCAGAGTTAGCTGCTTAGCCTCTATCCTCAATGACAGGCAAGTATTTCAATTTAGTTTAAAAATCACTCCTCTTCATAACATAAGGATCACGTCCAACATATGTTGTGATTATCAATACCTTTCTCTTGTAATAGCATGCTGGTTGAAGAGAGATCCCCTCATATGACTGTAAAGCAGTTTGGGTGTACAGCAATACAATGAAAGCGCTATATAAAAAAAATATGCCTCAAAAAAATGCCTCCAGCCTAAAAGAGTACAGTATGGACTTTCCTCCATCTCATCCGTTCTGCTTTTTCAGTCACTCCTGAAACTGTGCTGCATGAACAGGGTTTGTGGCTGTTGGTCCTGTCAGCAGCACGTAAAACAAAACTTTTATTCAATTGATTATAGCCTAGAAAGCGAGCAAATAGTGCTTTTATGGAATCACTAAAAAGCTGTCACTCACTTCAATTTATCTCAATCTCACGATGTTGCGTTATAATCAATGAAGCTCTAAGAACTGCAAATAATATCTTATTTACATCGTGTCTGCGTGTGGCGTGAGTGAATTCTGACTGTCACCCTATATCTATTTATGTATTTCTTTATTAATATATTATTATATCTAATATTCACAAGCATTATCCGGCTCCGCTCCTCCCGACCGCAGACGCAGGTTTACAAGCCACGTTTTCATGCGTTTTTCAGTTAATTTCTTGCCTTTTCCCCCCTTACACTCTTAAAAGCAAAGGTGCTTCACAGCGATGCCATAGAAGAATCTTTTCTGTCTAAATGGTTCCATAAAGAACCTTTAACATCTGAAGAACCTTTCTGTTTCACAAAAGCTTCGAGGCGAAAGAAGGTTCTTCAGATTATAAGAAGGTAAGAAAGAGACGGTTCTTTGACTAAATGGTTCTTTGTGGAACCAAAAATGGTTCTTCTATGGCATCGCTGTGAAGAACCTTTTGAAGCACCTTTATTTTTAAGAGTGTAATACTGGCTTTTGGGTGATAGTTCACCCAAAAATAAAAATTCTGTCATTTATGCATAAGACACTTTACTAATATAATTTCTGAATGAAAAATTGCCAGGTTGAACTGCCAATTAAATAGGATCTCTTAGAACGCTACTTGTCCTTTAAATCTTAATAAAAACATTCTAAAGGTTTCAAATAAGTTAAAACTTTGTATATTGGAGACTAACATTACAATATATTAAATAAATATAATAGATTATATAATAATTTAAAAAATGACAAAGGAAACAACCAATATTGTATTTCAAAAAAGCTGTTTCAAAAAAAAAGTTTTTAATGGTTACATTCAGGTGTCACCTTCCGCACAGATGCCTCAAATCTCAAGCCATATAGATCTGAGGCCTATGACACAAGGGCTCGCCATCATCCCCAGAGCTAAGAGTGCGTCTCGGATCTCCTCAGGAGAATTCTCAAGGAGGAACACAATCAAGTCTGACTCTGGTATGGTCTATGCTGTTTATTTTCTTGGTAATGGTGGAAAAGCATGTTGTTGAGGAGATATCTTATTTTATTACTTCTTCTTTACAGCCTCCTCTGTGCAGTCGGTGGCTGATGAGAATCTTTCTTTGATGTACATTGAGAAACTACTCTTGGAGAGAGTCAAGGACAAAAAAGAGGACTTGAAGGCTGCTTTTGAAGCCTTTGACCAGGAAGGCAACAAAGCTGTCACCAAAGGAGAGTTCAGGCGTGTAATCGAGGGGTTTCTTGTTCCACTCACTGAATCTCAGTTTGAGGGTCTGTTGGCAAAGGTGTGTTCATTTAGAATAACAAAAGTCACCCACTTCCTTCAGTGCACTTACTGTAATGTTATATTGTGGTACTTCACTCTTAAAAATAAAGGTGCTTCACGATGCCATAGAAGACCCTTTTTTGTCTAAATGGTTCCATAAAGAACCTTTAACATCTGAAGAACCTTTCTGTTTCACAAAAGCTTCGAGGCGAAAGAAGGTTCTTCAGATTATAAGAAGGTAAGAAAGAGACGGTTCTTTGACTAAATGGTTCTTTGTGGAACCAAAAATGGTTCTTCTATGGCATCGCTGTGAAGAACCTTCTAAGCACCTTTGTTTTTAAGAGTGTATGAACAACACATTTTGGTACACGATAAAAGCTCCTTGTGGTTTCTCGGTTTGGCCGATTCGAGCATCCATAAACAACACAAAACACAGGCATTTTGAGTTTCTGCTAGTGATTCCTGCCTCCAGCTGCATTTCACGCGTCATCAGAATCACGTGATTGCAAACAACCAATCGGCATATTGCTAGCATAATGCTAGTTATTAACATGATGCTAAAACAATTAAATTTACTATTAGTGCCTAGTACTGAGTTTTGCCAAGGCAACATTTTCTTCAGAAAACGTACATATCTAGGCTAGTTACACTTACTGTATGTGGTGCTTTTGCTTCTTTGTGAAGCTTGAAAGCTTCAGATCTCATTACATTATTCAACATTTGTTCTGTTAGGTTAAACTTCATTTAATCAAGTTAAAAACATATAGATATTTTTTATATCAAGCTGAGTGCATCGGGATACACAAATCAGCCAATCGCTCCTTAAAGCAACAAACACACATGTTCATTTCCACTGTAAAGCATTTTTAGAAACGCTGGAATCACATGAAATATTGCTAGTGTATAACAGGAAAACATACAGTGATGCTCTGTGTAAATCTGTGTTTTAAATCTTATCTGGGTAGTTAGTAATGCTTTAATCCAAAAAGCAAACCACAGGCCCTTTGAGAGATTTCTGTACGACATGCCACTCGAGTCATTACGCACTCAAAGATAACCTGAGGTCTCATGATAGTGCGCTTTTATCTAAATAATACATCATTAAGACTGGCCTGCGTTGGACTTTGGCCAGAAAACAACTCTTGTTCCTCGTTGTCTTGACACGGAGTCATTAATAGAGAATGCCAGTGCAAATATGATGAAAACCCACACGGTTGGACCTCGACGAACACGCTTCTAAACCATAATTTAGAGAAGAGCAGAAGCAGAAGATTTCCCTCAGCGTGCGTCCGTTAAGTGTGTTTAAAGTGGAAACAATACAGGGTGCAAAAAGACGTTGACCGAATCTATTTTTGGTAGACATTTTCATATACTGGTGTAGTCAAAGGCCGGCTCCATGCAGTATTTTTAGTAGCTAAAGAATACATACACAGGAAAGAGGATGTTTTTCGTGCATTTACCTCTTGATCGGCCCACTTTTAAATTTAGAAACATTGCAGGCCAAATATATATATATATATATAGTAAACATAGTGTAACACCATGGCTTTGTGTTGTTAAACAATAAATGAGTTAACCAGCTTTAAGCATTGTTAAGTGACGGGACGACGGAAGAATACCTGCATTTAGCAATTTTCTCTTGCGGTGGCACCATTTATAGCAAAGCCCTAGTAGGAACATCCCAAATTTAGCATATTCTGAAATGTGTTTTCACACAAACACGCATAAAACGTTTCTGGCGAAGTCCTTTCATTTTTCAGAGAATGCAGCACATCGAGCGGGATGTGGTTAACCACAAGATTTGCATTTTTTTAAAAAGGATCCCCGGTGGCAGATTCTTCACGCCGACACTTTTCATAAATGATAAATGGGGTGTACATGTCGTGTGTATAAAATAAAAGTGCTAAATGTGTGTGTGGAGCTGCTTTGAAGCCTCTGTGAGATGCATCATCAAAGCGCTCATGCGGAGTGAGTGGGAAATGTGAGCACCTGAGATGTCTGGGTCACCCACTCAGATGATTATTCTTATTGGACATATCTCTCTGCCCATACATATTTCTGCCACAGTGGAAACTTGCCGAGGGTTTGCGGTTGAAGTGACAGACAGGTTCAGATGTATCAGGCAGGGCATTTTCAGACTTTATCTGCATGTCTGAGAACCGGTTCGATGTTCGCCGTGCTAAATTTATCAGAATGACTGGAAGAGCTTGGTGTGTTCGGGGTATTAACACACACGGCTGTTCAAAGCTCCCGGCTCTGTGTGTGTGTGAGTGTGTGTGTGTGTGTGAGTGAGTGTGTGTGTGAAAGTTTAATTTTAGTGTGTAAGCAATCGTAAAAAACTGTAACATTTATTTTATTTAATATATTTTTTATGGTTTTACTTTCAGTTAATAACCCTGCTGTAAACATATATATATATATGTGTGTGTGTGTGTTTGTGTGTGAGTGTGTGTGTGTGTGTTTGTTTGTGTGTGTGTATAGATACACTATATATCAGTATTTATGTATTTACTCTGAAATGGCTTAAAATGCTGATTTTGTTTTGAATCAGAATGAGCATCATTTAAATCAATCAGTCATTATATTCGAGTAGATTCAAAAATGTTTAATGTAAGAAGTAAAATATGGTAAAAACCCCACCCCAATGTCACCTCTCTGCCCTCCAGAACTGAGATGCTTCGGATTCAAGTATACAACTAGAATTAAATCTCTGATCTAACCAGCCAAAACTATGACAAGCAACATGCGACTGCATATTTAGCTGGAAGTCTGATTTCCGTTGTGTAGCGCTGGGTTGAAATCACATTGGTCCAAAATCCCGTTCAGAAATCTTCTAATCAGCTAATGATTTCAATAATCTTCTAAAGGACCAGAGCGTTATTTAATCGTCTGCGAGTGTGTGATTAAATTAGGATACCAACATTACACTTCCAAATATATAATGGGGTTCACATTGAAACTCTGGGTTCAAACCTCAAAATAAACTGTTTATGTGTTGTGAGGAATGTGAAACAAAAAACGTTATCATGTAAAAAAAAATATTTCAGTGCATATTTCTAGGTGACTAGTCAAATGTAAGTAAAGGAACGACATTGATAATGTGACTTTTTGTAGACGGTCAGATTACAAACAGGTCAATTACAATGTCATTAAAGCAAAAAAGATTTTGTCAAAATACCAATTTTTTTTACATTTTTTAAATGTAAAAATCCTTTATTGTGATATTATATTTTAGTAATTAATTGCTAATTATTATTTCTATTTAATAAAGCTAATTTATTAATTGCTAAAAAACATTATATTCATTAAAATGCATTAAATTCTAAAAGAGCATGAAAAAAATGGTCAGATATTTGGAACCCACTATATTGTCCATGATATCAACCTGTCAAAATACAAACACATTCACACTGTATTTACACGTAGTACTGTACAAAAACAAAACAAACAATACACACACACACACACACACACATACAGTTTTTGTTTTATTTTAAAATTATTGGAGGATGTTTTACAAGAAAATACTTTTTTTCTACTTCAAATTTTTACATTCAGTTCATCGTTACTTTGCAATCGTGCGGTTTCTTTGTAACTGTGTGAAATTTAGAATTAATGAGTGAAAATTATTTCTCCACCAATCTTATTTGACTGTAGTTACAGGTGGATGAACTGCAGTGTCGTACATTGCGAACTGTGTTCAGAACAGATATTATTGGCACGTTTTGCATCCTTTAGGGAATCAGGTGCTAAAAGAGCGCAGATGGAGCGTGCAAATAAGTGCTATTCATTCTTAGTGAACTGCTTAAAAAGCATTTAGCAAACCAGGCCTGTATTCATGACAGGGCAGTGATCTTCAGCAGAGTTTACCTTGCAGCCCTCGCAGGCGTGAACGCCGTAATGGAAGCCCGAGGCCTTGTCTCCACACACACGACACTCGATGTTCAACACTGAGCTGGACGGATCTTCAGGAGGCTTGGAAAACAACAGGCTGTTCTCCACAAACTGCGGAGGAGACTCGGGCTCAAGTTTGATCGAATCTGGAACAGATCAAAGGGAGCAGTTTTAGATTAAGAGTTCAAGCTAAATACAGTGCTGGCCAAAATTATTAGAACACTAGTATTTCCAGCAGCTAAAATGGTTTTAAGTCAGATATTTCTATCTTTTGCTGTAGTGTGTCAGTAGGAAATATCAGTTTATATTAACGGATAAAGAAAATCTGTTTTTTACAGCATTTTACACAAGTGCCTAAAACTTTTAACAGCACTGTAGCTTTGCAGGAGGTTTCTTGAAGCGTCTCGGAGACACAGTTCTTCTGGATTGAGTCTGTCTCAGTTTGTTCTGTTTCTTCATGTGACTCCAGACAGACTGATGATGATCAGATCAGATCAAAAATCTCACTGCATTATTACAATTAATGGCACAATGAATGTTTGGAAATGTGAACTGATATTTCCTACTGACACACTACAGCAAAAGATAGAAATAACTGACTTAAAACCATTTTTAGCTGCATGGTGAAAATACGAGTTTTCTAATAATTTCGGCCACCGCTGTATATCATTAGACAGCTACTTGTTTGTAGAGCCTACATGTTACAGCTGAAGGAATATTCACCCAAAAATGAAAGTGTGAGTAAATGATTTTTAGGTGAAGTATCCCTCTGGTAAAGCTGACACAGATGGAAGTGAAGCGTACTCTGTGCTTGCTGTGCTCTGTAGCTGCTGTAGTTCTCCTGCGCTCTGTAGCTGTACATGTGCGTCAGATCCATCATGTCCGGCGCCTCGCTCTGCGCCGGACTCGGCTCGTACTCGATGCCGGAGATGGTGCTGTAGTCCAGCGTGGAGAAGGGCTTCATGTCCATCGAGTGCGAGCTGTCGTCCAGTTCGTCCAGGTCCAGAGCGCTCAGGCCGAATCCCACGGGCCAGGCAAACGTCTGCGTGTCCACCATATCTGCCAAACACAGACCGACCGCAGAATGGCCTTCTAGTGAGAACATCAACAACACTGGAGCTCTCCCAAGCTACATCCCGCTTTGTGTGTCGTTGCTGTTTTGTTCAAATCTCTGCAGACACTCGCTGCTGTTTTGGCCAAAATAGCACACTGGTACACTGAAAAACCGGTAACCTAAAAACGGTAAAATCTAGTTTTATTCAAGTAACAAATATTATTTAATATCACGGAATTAACCTAAATGCATTATGTACACCAACAAAACCTTTACTGGGTTAAAGCAAGTAGAAATAGCACTTTAGGCTTACAAATGCAGGTTACCATTTACTACAGTTATTATTAAAAGTGTCATAGCTTGGTCTCAATTATATCTTATAATTTTTTTTTTTTTAATGTGTTCTTATTGCCACAAATACACAAATATAACTATATAATATTAATTAACAATATGTAGTTACTTTGAGTTTTGGGTTACGTTTTGGTTTCACCTTGGTTGCTTGTAATTATGCATAATTTACCATTATTAATATAGTAAATGCATGCAAGATATGTAACAAGGAGACATTAAAACAAAGTGTTACAAGTTTTTTAAAAATATATTTAAATGTAATTAATGTATTCTGTTTTTACGGAGCAATCTATTATGGAAATCAAATCTTGTTACAGTCAAATTAAAATGCAAACATATATTTTATTAGGTGTGCTACACTGTAAAAAAAGTTCGTTAAATTTACGGTAAAATACCGGCAGCTGTGGTTGCCAGAACTTTACTGTGAAAAATACGGTAGCAACATTTTAGGTTTTACAGAACTGTTTAAATTTAAAGTGAAAAACCGTATTTCATTAACTGATACAATGTTAATATGCAAACCTTTGCGTTAACTCATTTTATTTGCAGAAACCTACTGCACTTAAATATGCACAAATAAAAGTTTTGAACTATGGCAGAACTTAAACACACACAGACATCAACATTCAGCCTATGAATCTCAACATTGGTGACAATCAAAAAAAATAAAATCATTCTGCAATGCATGCTGGGAGTTTTGTATTGGCGCCCATTCTTGATGTCTGTGTGTGTCTAAAAGCTACTGTAGCTCTAAAGGTTTTGTGCATAAAATTTTTTTAAAATTCCTTCACAATAGTTTGTCAACTTATCTTGTAGAGTCATATTAGTACCACAAACAAAAAATGTATTTACCCATATAGTTGGACACAAATTGAGATCATGAATCACGTCATGAAATGATCATTACATCATCATTAATAGTTATTAAAAGCACTTCATTGCAATTTCTCCCAGCTTTTCATGCCATAACAAATGTGTTTTACAAACACAGATATAACAGCAGAGAAAAACTAACAATAAAGAGTCAAGGGTCAAGAGCCCAACTAAAGCAACCACTGATCGCCAAAATGGTGAGGCCAAACAAAACATTTTCAATACAATATAAACCTTGGTTAATTCTCAAATAATTTTTGTAGATATATGACAGAAATAAAGTGAGTCTGGTTAGTGATGAGTGAAGCTGGTAATGCTGTTTGTGGAGTTGTGTAATCCTCCTCTGCTGTTTTATTTCAGTTGATTTCATTTAAGGCTGTGGCTGAAGTCAGTTGTAGTTTCATTTCTTGCTCTTTCCTTCAGTGATTCTGCTTGTTAACAGCAGCTGTTCATCAGTGTCTGAATTCACTCATTAGTTTTCAATCACTCGGTCTAGTGGACTATATAGTGAACTAATGTAGGGAATAGTGGATGAGGGTGTAGGGTGTGATTTCAGACACAGTCTATGAGTGTTGACTCTGAGGCTACTTTCTCGAAAACAAAGGTTAGATCTATTACAGTTATTCACCGTATACTGTAAGGAAAATTACTGTTAATCATTTAACAGGTTTTTACTGTGGCATTTGTACAGTCTTTTACCGTTAAAATCACGATAAACTAATTACATTTAAATAATTAAAAATTGTAACTTTATTTTAATTGGCCCTTGTTACATATGTTGCATGTATTTACAGCGATTAAGCATAAATACAAGCAACTAACACTAAAGCAAATCTTAACCCTAAAGCCATAGTAAGTACATGTTTTTTGTTTTTTCAGGAACAGTGAATGAAATGAACAATTCCGGCTAATTCTGGCACATTTATTTCACAGTGTGATGGTCATTATTGTCCCCGATGAATACAAATGCACACTTTAATAGGATATGAACACGTGCAAAACCTCTGAATGCCATCTGAGAAAACATTCAAAGAGAATGTAAAGAAATCGAATCAGGCCAAAGGCCTCTCACAGCACGAGACGCTACAGTTTATAAAGCGTCAAAACCCCGCAGATATCAAGCCGACGTGAAGATGAGCTCCGCTCCTGCTGTAAAAACACTCTGTGACTCGAGCCGAGACTTCAAGACGCTCAAGGTGTGAACATACCACCGAATTTACACTGTTGGCTACTATCAGCATTTAACCGATTCTATCAGGTGTAAATGAAGGTATAAAAATTACTGATGAAGTTTTCTGCTGTTCTGTAAAAAATATCAATACATCAGTATGGATATTAGCACATTTTATTTGACCTTGGACATTGTCCAGCTACAGTGTTAAAGTGAGGATGATCAATGTGCGTAATCTTTTCATTGTTAAATCACTTTCTACTGTCCAAATGTAATCTATGTAGAAACAATGAGTAAGACACTGTAGGCTGTTTTCCCAGAAAAGTGTGCCGCTGTCAAAACACTGATCTGTTTGTTTGAGTCCATCAGTCTGACCGCTTTACAAACAATCGTGTTCAGTTCAGCACAGAAACACACACCTCAGCTGGCTTTTTCTCTGAGATCCTTTAAAAGCATCACTGCTCAACTGTGGTGATGACTAAAAACCAAGCTGCTTGGTGAAAAACATATTTTTTTGCCATATTACGATGCAAGAATATGAATCATCTTAAGACTATATACAGCAGTAGTGTGATGTCACACCTCTGTTATGGGTCCTGCTTTGTTGGTCTTTACCTCATTTTACTGTGTTTAACAGCACAGATTTCGTTTCTTTAATTCTTTGCAGGTAAAACTGAGAGATGGGCACCGAAGCGCACACATACTCCTGTCCTCGATCGCAGGACCTATCCCTTGAAGGGCGTTGTATTGCAATGTTTGTACAGTCATCGTGCTTTGAAACGGAGGGACTCATTTATTAATGTCACGTGAAATGAGGTTATGAAACCTCAGAAATCTGAATGTTTTTACCTACTGATTTTTAAGACGCAGGCTCTTCTGTAAATGCTTCAGAGAGAGGCAGATGTGCTATATATAGAATACAAATTCAGTGCAGTTGCCACAGAAAAAACATTGTAGTTGATAAGTCTAACACGGTTAACCCATCAATAACAAACTGCGTCGGCCTCCTCTATCGAAAAATGTACACAATCAAGGTCTCTGGTTGTGTAAAACCACCCAGAGGAAATGTTTCTTCCTCCAAAACAAGGCAAATACCAGTAAGTGCCCTTTTCATTTACATAGTTCTGGTCTTGTCCGGATGACCCGAAGGGGTTTAAATGTAAAGTTTTCCCACCCAAAAATCTTTCATCGCCAGACTGGAACAGCAGCTTTCAATGCACGCTAAACACGAGAGACGTTGAAGTAGAAAATATTCAGTCGTGACCTGGAATGTTTCCCAATGACTTTCCATAAACACCATCAGGTCTGACACATCCTTATTCCCGCGACTGACCCGATCCCCTCACTCCCAAGAGCTTTTCTTGATCCAGCGAGCTGTAGGACTGTCTATTCTGAGTAAAAAGCAAAGTTATGCCCGTTTTGAAATGTGGTAAACATCATTTGCTCCAGTTGGCAGAAGATATCGTAGCACTGTCAGAAATTTAGTTTAGTGAGACAAACTCTCCTACACTACTCCTTTGACTCAAGCGGTTGAAAACCTAGAGATATTTTGGTTGCAACCACAAGCCCATCGAAATATAAGGTCAAACCTGTATTTTTGACACCGCAGTGTTTCTGTGTCTATGATTTGCAGCGATGTGAATATATCACCAGCCAGCACTTGCAGACTCTTCATTACATAACTCTGAGAAGCACTGGGGGACAATGGGGTGCTCAAGTCATCGTACGGTTCATTGGCCCACACTGTTTGCACCGATATGACGTGTGAGTGGAGCATAACAATACATGACAAACTGTCAAGTTAATGCCCTGTATCTTAACAAAAGACAACAAACAGCACATGAACCAGCCCCTAATGCACAGATTTCAGCGCTGCGTACTTCAACCAAGTCTGATCTTGCAGTGAACGTGGAAGTTAAGACTAAACTCAAAACTAAACATCGACTTGAAGAACTGCATGGATTCAGAAAAACGGCCTTGCCCTCCCTAAATCTGTAGCTCACTGCTTCTGATAATAAAACAACTGGATTTGGTCACGCTTTATTTTAAGGTCCAATTCATTAATCCAAACCATTAATTTGCTGCTTAATATTAATAGTTAGTAAGGTAGTTGTTAAGTTTAGGTATTGGATTAGGGATGTATAATGTGGTCATGCAGAATATGTGCTTTATAAGCACTAAATGTGTTAATAACAGGCATGCTAATAAGCAACTTAATATAGTGAGAATTGGTCCCTAGATTTTTATTAGCCCTGTCAATGGATTCAGAATTGTACTGAAATTAATATTCAGATATTTCTTTAAAAAAAGTTGATTTGTCACCCGTTTGTTCTTCGTCAGACTCTGATCCCACAGTAAAGTAACAGCACATCTCCGGAGCACAAACACTCAGTCTAATTAACCTGACACTGACATTGTTTTTCAGAGACTATGAGCTAGTGTTATTCTGAGGTGTTAAATCAAGCAAAGCAGTCGGTTATGTGAAATGCTTTCCACAGGGACACTATTGCAACAGGACTGTAATGTTTTTCACTGATATTTCCTAAGAGCATCAAATAAACGCCAAGTCGGAAAGAATGAGGCCACAACGTTTTCACATGAGCCTGA